TCTACTCTTTACGAGAGAGCACTCTGAAGGAGAGTACGGACAACGAGCGGACACGCCCTCCTCTCGTTGGTGAACACGAGACGCAGAGATTGCTTCGCCGTCTGATTCTCTCAGAGAGAGAAATTCTGGTTGACAACAGCCCTGTAACCGCTAGAGAAGTACTCGAAGTGGGTTAGTTATAGAGGAGTACGATAACACCGTGAAGACGTAGAATTTCGCGGTGTTTTCGTGGAAGAACCGTAATGCCAAGCTGGAAATTTAATTCGTTCTCAATTCCATGTATGTTCAAAGTTTCTTTCGTTCGTTTGTCGTTTGGGGTGTTTTTCATAAAACGAAGTTCTTTTTGAAGTATATCTTCAATGAATGCACCATGTCTTTGGTTCCCATTGATTCCTTTGCAGTAACAGCTGGATTGCGAGCAGTATTTTTCCTCCGGCTAAAGCTCGTTTTAAAGCTCAGTAGTTGAAGCATAACATTGGTTTAGCAATGGACGACGAAAATCTATTCGGTGGTGATTTGAGCGAAAGCAGTAGTGACGAGGAAGAAACTAATCAGTCTTCTCAAGCAGCGGAGGAGCGTAATGTTGTAAAAGACGAAAAGTAGGTCATTTTAGTTCCTAATATACATTTCCCAATCGTGACTTGGTATTTTCATAGACCAGAAGTCCGAAAAGCAAAGGTCTCCTTCACATTGGCCGACGAGGAAGAGTCAAACGATGGCATATCAATTTTCAGTGGTTTAGGTGATCCAGGGGAGACACATGAGTCTACCAATAAAGCAAATAAACGCAAGGTCTGTTCTGTGAAACCTGCCTGGTTGTTCGAGGTATGAATTCAAAGCATTTACAGGCGAGTTCACCCGTTGGGCAAGGCTCTGACGCGAAACGTGTGAAGTCTGAAGGTCATCTGGCCGAATCAACTTCTACAGCCGACTTTCAGGAAGCGTTAAATCTTCTAGACGATCCCACCGCAGGTGCTTTTTAGTCAACTAGCTTATTATTTCATAAAATCCAGGAAAAACATTGGTTCAAGATGTTTTTACCGCTCCTACTGCTCCGGCACCAAAGAAGATAAAGGACAAGGTCAAGCCTGCAATTGTGAAGGTATTTGATCTTTGCTCTAATTCAGCTACACTACGTTTACTTCGTTTTTTCGATGCAGTCAATTTATATTTTGCAAAATGGTTAGAATAGAAAGTTCATTGATTAGTCTCTTGACATTGCTTTGTCATGAGAGCTTGTATGAGACGTTGTTTGCCGGATTTGGGTTAAAAGTTCGTCCTGGTTTCAGAAAGAGAAGGACGTACGATTTGCTCCAGATGTGCCACAAGTGGAGAAGTCGCCTGCTGGCCAACAAAAAGCATCTAGTTCTTCCTCATCAAAAGGAGAGCAGGAAGAGGTGAAAGTTATTTTTTTTTTATTCTTCTAGAATGATCTCTTAATGGTAAACTGGCGATAATGATAGAAATATGCAGTCAAAGGATAGGAGCGTAAGGAAGAGTAGTGTCCTTTCGGTTCGGACTTTCCAATGACCTCATGATTATTTCAGGAGGATGCTCTACCGATTAAACCTCTCAATGAAGAAGATGAATTGTTACGATTGAAAATGCAGGTACGTCGATTTTTGTTTTGACGACTTTTCTTTTCTGATGAGTTCTCTTCCAGATTCTTATATCCAACTTTTCTCAGGAACAACTCAACAGATATGAAATGTACAGAAGGTAGAGTAAAAGGCGTCTCATTTTCTGAATTCTGGACTCTTTTTTGAATCTTACGGTTATCAATTTCTTAAGCTTGATTTCTTACAATTTCTAATTTGCTTTTAGATCTTCTTTCCCAAAATCAACTATACGTCGCCTCATACACCAGTTTACCGGTGCCAATGTTGGGCAGAACGTTGTCATTGCAGTCGCGGGACTCGCGAAGGTACATAAATACGCCTCCCTTCACCTAGCCATTTGTTTTTTTATGGGTTTTGAGACCATTTTTTCATGATTTTTCAATTTTTGCATTTAATTAGCGGTGAAAATAGATTTCTATATTTGAAGGTGTTTGCTTGTGAACTGGTAGAAGAGGCGTTGGATATACAGGCGAAAATGGGTGGGCCGGAAGAACCTCTGAAGCCAAACCATCTCCGTCTTGCCTACTATTCTCTTGAGCGTCAAGGAAAGATTTTCCCACAGAATAGCCAACGACGGAATCCTTTCATGTAGACGCTTTCTACGTTCTCGAAGGCTTGCCTTCAATCATGTCATGCATTATTATCTACCTCAACTTGTGGCTCTCGTTCTTAACGGGTCATGTTTCTCGAGAAATCGCTTGATTAGGAAAAGCTGAAAAAGAAAATGTTGTTTTTCCACTATGAATGAACCATTTTGTCTGGAATTCCGATTGTTGGTTAGTTGTACATATGAATATTTATGAATAAATTGTGAAATATGGAAGTTTTTTATGTCCGAAGGCGTCAGTGACGCGTAGTGGTATTGCTTCCAAACAATAACTACTTTCTCTTGACGGTTTTCTTGTACATTTGAATTACTTCCAGTAAAACTTAATAATTCATGATTAATTCGATTAAGTGACTTATCGAGAGTCTTTGAAAAAGATTCACTTCCTTGAAAGTGTCACTACTCAAATAGTAGCTTACACCACGGTAATGATTCCTACAGTGTGGAAACCATTACTAGCAATTTTTGCCCAATTTCCTTTCCAAGTTTATCCCATCCCAGACAACTTCCTCATAATGTCTTCTTTTGTTTGTTTTATGATCTCAAGCCGCACAGGTACTCTAAGGTTCTCATCCGAGTTCTAAACTGCACGAAACATATGTGTTCCATTACAAGGACTTATGATTCCTGAAAAGCTGCTCTTGAAATGATTTGTTGGTCTAGATGAGTGGGACGCCGTATGCTGGTGTGCCAACAATACCGCCGGCTCAGTTTAGTACGTTCGCTACCACTATTGATCCTCCTCGACCCTTGCCAGATTTTGTATCAAAGCCTCAGATTCATCCCACAACGACAGTGGCTGAGCAAGTACGTTTTGCGGTTCGTTCTGTTGTTTACCCATGGTCAAACCATTGAGTTCGGGTTTTCAGCAAACGTATTCGCAAGTAGCTGCCCCGTATCCAGCTGTACAGGCTCATGTGGAACCTGCTGTTTCCACACAAGATGCTAAGGATAACAGACCCACCACAGTTCAGGAGTCGTTTGCGATTACACCTAATGCCGTTAACGATACAAAGGTAATACATTTGCTTTTATACTATGTTTGTTGTTATTGCATTCGACAACCCACGATCTTACTTTTATGTTCCATTCACATTTTTCGGAATATACACAAATATTGTGTGACAAATTATAATTATGTACTTGCATTATGTAAGTAAGCGTATTTCAAGCTTACCTGTTCTTCCAGTATTCACAAAAACCTGACTCACATCACAAGAAGCATCATAAGCTGCCCTTGGCCCCAACGTCGTCAAAGTGTTACAATACTAAAAGAACTTTTAAGGTGATCCCATTCTCTTCTTTTTACGTTGAAGGGTCACGAGCCACATTTCCACATTTCAAGTTTTACGGTTTTCAGGTGATTATTGTGGGCGATGCAGGTGTGGGTAAGACATGTCTGTCGTTCCGATTCTGCTGCGGTAGGTTTCCGGAACATACAGAGGCAACTATAGGCGTGGATTTCCGAGAAAGAAGTTGTGTCATAGAAAGAGAATTACTCAAGGTTGTCAATTAGAAGTAAACTAATTCCGTTTAAAGACTAATACGATATTATTCGAGGTGCAACTATGGGATACGGCCGGTCAAGAGCGTTATAGACATTCGATAGTGGCGCATTACTATCGCAATGTTAATGCTGTAGTGTTCGTTTATGACGTGACGAGGTAACTTCGTGGAATGATTCTTTAGCTTTTCTTCTCTGCAGAATTGCTATATCGTTTTTATTTTGCGATTATAATTTGTTTAGCCCGTCGTCCTTCGCTTCTCTTCGCTCATGGATTAGTGAATGTGAAAGGAACGGTCTAACAGCAGACTGTGATGTACCGCGAATTCTCATTGGAAATAAATGTGATCTGAAATCGTCCATAACAACCCGTGTCGATACGGATGCTGCTCAGGTGAGGTTTTTGGCCTTCCCTACGAATAACCATAAACCTCAACCTCCTCGGAATTATGCTCTGAAGAGGTGCCTCTATCATTAAATCTCATTGTAACGTGTTGTATTTTCGGTGTTTGCTGACCGCAATAATATGGCCCTGTTTGAAACATCGGCAAAAGCGGATTCTGAAGCAGATCATGTTGAATCAATATTTTTAACGCTGCTTCACAAATTGCAACAGAGCAAGCCGATGCATGTGCAAAGTGAAGTAGAGCGACAGGCAAAGGTGAGTTTAAATCTCCACCCAATCCATTACCAATCGCTTTCACTCTAATCCAATTTTTTCTCTGAGACACACCTGAGACACATGGAAACTATCCATCGCATAAGGTTCTTTACTACAATGAGGATTAGGAATAAGATAAATTTGCGGTGATGTTACTTCGAAAGGAAAAGATTCTGTTAACTATTTTCTTCTTCAAAAAGGAATGTGCTGAACGTACAAATTAAAATATGGACGTGGATGTGTTGTGATAACGCTACTTTGTTTCCTTGCTGACTATAAGCTTATCTACTTTAATACGTGTCCTGTGCCTAGGGAAAATCGATAGATGTCACTTTCCACTTTTTATTCAAAGGAACTCTCCGACAACGCAATGATAATGCCTCCCTGTTTAGGAACAAGAACGTCTAGTGCTGAAGGCTAGCGAAGCCAAAGATTTACCTGAAGATGGCTGGTGCTGCTAAGACAGGAATTCGTTATAAATTTTCGTATCGATTAATTTAAACTCAGAGCTATTTATTTTATTAGGGCATGAGGTTCATTTACGATTTGATTGAGTACAGTGTAATCGATGCTATGAGTTTCATTTCAAAGGTTGGTTATAATATGTCCACTTTGTCGATTATAGAGGGTCATGCTGCAGTGTTGGATTGTCAGTATTCATATGTTTGGTGAATTTAGTTAGATGCTGGGAGTTCCTCACTTCGCAGAGGTTTTTAATCGACCTGAATCTGATATTCGTGGCATTGTTACTTTTCAGACTAGCGTCGTTCAAACACGGCCCAACACTAGCGTGAGGGAGGGTTCTTTGCCCATCGATATTTCAGTAGTTCAGTTCATCTCAACAGCATAGTAGACATGTTGGATGAATTCGGCGTCAGTGAATATGAAGAGCGTAGGCTTCCAGAGATCAAATCGGATTTCATTAGCCCCTTTTTCCGCAAGCTGATTCTGGTGGTTCGAATCCTCTGTTTGATAGAAATTCTTCGGCTTCAGGTTGTGACGCATACCCCCCTGAGAGTTTTAGAACTAGGGCGCAGTGACAGGGATTTTCCTGCAATGGTTTTTCCTCTTCAGGTGTCTGGTCATCCTTTTCAATGTGCTAAGTTTTTACTGAAGCAAGGATTTCAATGGGAAAAGCAGTCCTTATTTAAAACTTTCAACTAATGCATTTCATTCATATGTTGCTGGTAACGTTGCCTATCTTTGTTTGGTTTTGGTCGTAATATCGGTGGGATTTTTCATTTCACTGTGGGCGGTCTTATATGTTAATGCGTTGCTGCTCTCTTCGTTCCCATGCCAATTGTTCTGTTACATCCAGCCTGGGACGTGTGCGGTCGTTATTTATCCTGATCCATGAGAGTGGACTCAATGATCAAGGTACATCTCCACCGCATGGGCTACGGGTTGGTGTACGCAGCTTACTCGAAGAAATGCTACATCATGCATCTTCAACTAAAGAAACTATTTTTTNTTTTTTGAACTGGTTTCGGATTATGTGATATACAAGTCTGGCTTTTCCTGTCATTTGTGATTAAAATTTTATTTATTTGTTTTCTTCTTCTCAACAAACTGTCATATCGATATGGGCAACAAGAATCGTGAAAAGGAATGAGGCACACGGGAAAAGAACTTAATGAAATAGAACAACTGAATCAAGAAGGAAGAAGAGGTCCAACAAGACTTGAATTTAAGCGATTAAACGCTAAATAATGAAAGCAAAGGTGAGATTGAGCTTATTCAATCACAGAGAGGTTACACACACATAAAGCCTACTCCTAAATAAAGCTCAGTTTTCGATAGAATCGGTCGTTAAGTCCATGATGACTGAACGGTTTTGGTGGAAGACCTGAAACAACGTGGTTGATGTATGATTGAGCACGGTGCTGTAGTGATTTGCTTGATAACGCTGAAAGTCAAAGTGTTCCAAGATGAGTTCAAGAAGTTCCGGGGAGGGGTGACCATCCCACTTCTTCGCAATCACAAGGGCTCCTAGATGGTTGTGTTTTTTGATAAGTGCATTGTTATTGTTGCGTTTATGCCCAATCACTCATGTCAACATGGATGTAGCAGCGTTGGGTTCCTTCAAAGTAAAGTGGGTTCAACATCAGCCAGCTTCACCACTGAACTCCATGGAACATTTCAAGGGTCATCATGATCAAGCCGGACAAATGACTGGGTGTTAGGAGAAGTGCCACTAGTTAAATCAAACTTACATGCCATCAGCGGCGGGAGCGCCATAGAGTTGATACCTAAAAGAAAAGGATAACTAATTATTGATTTTTAACTCTGAATATAAGGAAAGAAATCGTCTAAGGGGCGGATGCATATGCCTTTTATTTCCAACTTGAGACTAAGGGAAATGTCTCAAGCCAATTTTTGCGCCAATAGTTCCAAAAACCTGGGGACTGAGACGACAATCCCTAACTTGCCTTAACTCTCTCCACGCTTCAAGACCGTTTGGTGCTTTTGCGGGCCTACCGAAGGATTTTATAGAGCGTGAAGGTCTATTATGGTAAGGCTGTTGCTACTGAAGGGATGCCCCTTTACAACCATCTGAAGAAGGCTCTGAAAGAGGTACCCATCCGACTATGGAAATCACAAACACTGAATCCAGAATTGACCTACGTTCCCGTTCGATTCCGTCGTTTTTGGCAGACGGCGAAAAGAATAGCGATAATTGTCGTTAGAAGGAATAGACATGCCAGAATCAGTAGTATCAAAGTCAGCGCTGAAATCTCTTGGGTTACTGTAAGAGGTAGTCGATGATAGAAGATGATCATGCTCTATTCTGCCGATAGGCTGCGAGGTTCACCTACAACTCGCCGAGGCTTTTGGTTAACTCAGAGCAGAAGAGTTTGACTGTCACGATCTCTAACCAAAAGAAGAGTGACTCAAAAAGTTTAGATAAAATACACAGATTTTAGGGTTATCCAAAATATTTTTTTATCGAATGTACTTGTTTATATTCTTTGGCTAGGGACCAAAAAAGTAGAAAAACTTCTCTTCTCCTTTAATTTAGTCTTGAACGTTATCATTATGTAACTTTCCACTTACGGAATCGGCAATTCGAACCCGCGTAGATCCAACTACAATCGCAACGATAAGAGAATGGTCCTGTGACGACTACAGTAGTTCCGTTGGGGCACTCCTGAATGGGTTTTCATACATTCATTGTTGGTCCACTGTGGTGGGTTCTATTAGGTCTTCAGCAAAGAATAGCCAGAGAATCCGACTGCTGCTCATTGGGTTGGGTATTCCAGAGGAAGTATGTAGTTGAGCGTTTCCACTCGGTAGATAGGAGCGAGAATTGGTCGGTTCAGGGGTACTTCATGGTAATATCCCCCTCAAATTATGTTTTTGTTTAGGGGGATAGGAATACAAAGACAATGCATACAAGAACCTTTTGCGATTTCGGGACAGCACAGATGCGTGGCTCTCTCCGCAATTTCATGATAATGAAGATCTCGGTTTTCCTTTTTTCGCTATAGGACAAAGGTAAGAAGAGGTTTTAAGGGGTTTTCCGACAGCAGTCTTCTGAAAAGGCAAAACTTTAGTATAAGAAAACTCACGGCATTGTCAGGATCCCGAGTGCATACGAATGAACCAGGCGTATTCAGACATTCTGCTGCAGTTTGACATGGTGATGCTTCGCATTCGTCGATGTCTATAAGAATTCATCAAAATAATTTTGACTTTATAAAAAGCTTGAATCCTAAGTGACAATGATACGGTATGCTGGTGAGATGGAGGACGGACTGGTACGAATGGCCGTTGTCAACCGCAGTTTCACATTGGACCACTGACCTAAGTTTTGCCAGCTCACCACGAATATATCACCCCTCCGCCTGTTCACTGAACAACTAGTACCAACTTTTATTAGAGAAAATAACTGTGTAGACTATTGTCATTGTTCTGGAATCCCTTTCTAAGTGGTTCAGTGCCACGTCGTTCCAACGCTCTGGAGTCCGAAGCGAAAAGTTGAAGATCAGTCTCAATCTAGTGCACTGACTGAGATATCAAGAGATTTCCAGGCATGCTATGTGTATACGAATTACTAATAATTTTTTTGGTATTTCTGTGGAAACATGCAAAATATTCCGGAAGAAATCAGAACTTTCGGAAAAGTATCGACAGGTACCTTGTAAGAACCCTGAAGTTCAGCGATGACGTTTTGTCATGAGCCAACATCATGGTAGGCTGACTTCGATATACCTATACCTCTATCTTCGACTATATTACCTTGACATTTGTGTATTACTCGTCCCTGATCGTCGGCTGTTGAGCCAATCGCAAGGAAGCCCTTCTTACAGACGCACTCCGTTCTCATGGGTATTCCTGAAGCGGTTGGTTAGAAAGTACTCGCACAGAACTACTAAAAAATTGGTAAAGAAATCCTTTGCTCAATTCACTGATAGCTAAGAATTACCATCTATGGGACGGCATTCAGTGTTCTCCGGGCAGACAATGTTTCCGCAACGTTCATCCTGTAATAAGCCGGAAGTAGCTAACAACTTTGTGATTTTCAGAATAAAAGGTAGAAAAACTCGTTACCTTGGCAATCCATCCATCATAAGGGAGGTAGGCATTTCCGAGCGTTCCAAAACATGGCGTACTCAACGTATCGCAATCGAGCAGAAACTGCTGAAATTCATAACTCTGATGTTCGCTAATCCTGAAAGCAGTGCATTTTCCGCCTGACGGCTCGGTCCAGGGAATTTTCTACTGAGGTGAGGCACTTTGCTTCACATCTGTTTCGTAGGATATCGCTACTCCCACAAGCTCCAGATATTCTGAAGGTTGTCCTTTCTAGGCAGCAGAGGGCCCGAAAATAGTTTCCGAGGGAGAGGTTCAAGACACTGACGAGACCAATTAACATTTAGAAAGATAGAGGTACATGAAGGAGTTCATAGTGTGAACCTCTCTCTCTTAAAGGCTGATTATTTTTAGGACCAATGCAAAAAAGTCAAAAGTTGGGCGAGTTTCGATATGCCGACACAACATCGGTTCATGCGACATCCCAAGGGAAGCAAAAAATTCCTTCGTGGGACTAGCCTTACTGAGACTTTAATGTAGCCCTACCCGCTGTCTTCCTGAGTGCCAAAAAAAGGATTTCCTTTTTGAGCAGAAAGACCAGCTTATTTTTCGGAAATTGGGGCTTGAAAGGTCGAGTAATCCAAAACTGGTTTCTTACTTTGAAAATCTTCTCATTGCTACGAAAGCTGCCGGTGTCATTTAGTTTTAGCATCAACTGCAAATGTGCGACCAGCGATCCTTGAGTGAAGTTGTTGAAGACAAGCTTGATCAAATTGGCACCGTACACTTTATCAAACTGAAATCATTCCAAAGCTATGATATGAGCTGAGATATTGCCATATTTCAGGTATTAGGCTGTCCAATAACTTTAAATAGCCTTTTTCGGAAGAAAAGCTCGGTTGTTAAGTTCAGCTCTCCCTCTCCGTAAACTCTGATGGAGTTGACGGCTCTAATAAAACTTGAACGCCCTGTACATCAATGAACTAGCTTCAGTGCGTTTCAGTGGTATACGTCCACCCATCCTTTTAACAAAAACGTTCCCAAAAGAACTGGCTCAATTTAGCAGCACACATTATCAGATTCGTGACTCAAGAAAACTGTGAACAACATCTTTTCAGGCAGACAAGTTAACAAGAAAACTTTTTTGAATCATTTTTCTGAATTTCGACCGTTTCATAATATACGTCCGCCCTTGATATATGAATCGAGAAAAACTTCCCTGTTTAGCCGGGGCATATGTCCGTACGCAAATCAAAGGCGACAGTGATCTCCTTGCGGTCTACTTGCTATGCCACGTGGTCCCCGTCCCTCTGCAGAGGGAAAGGCTCGGATCCGAGCTTTCCACGAGGCCGCACTCAGCAATCGACGCATTGCCAATCAAATCGGCAGGACCCATTGCGTGGTCTGCTCCTACCTCACAATCAGAGATCCTGAAGCCAACGACAACGGAGGTGCCCGGGGACGTCAACGCAGGTTGGTCCAGCAGAGATGAATGAGAAATATGGAGGAGAGTTTCGAACAGCACCATCAGCGTCAACCAGATCCGTGCAGACTTGAAACTTTTTGCGTCGAAAACGAACGTTTGGAGAGCTATCAAATGCAGTGGTAACATTGTGAGAGAAGTTATGGGAAAGGCGTCTAACCAACTCACACAAGATGGCTCGCCTCGGTTTTGCTCAAAAGAATGCGATCATGGATTGGAAACAGGTGCAGTCGTGAAGCCAGGTATAGCTCGTGCACTGTAATTTAATTTGAAGTCTTCAGGTGATCTTCTCCGACGAGAAGAAGTTCAATCTCGACGAGCCCGATGGAGCAAGATGTTATTGGCATAATGTGAGGAAGGACCCAGTGCAGTTCAGCAGGCACAACTTCGGTGGCGGTTTGCTGATGGTTTGGGGAGCTTACTGCTGGGATAACAAGCTGAAGCTCGAATTTGTGTCCTGTCGAATGGATTCGCAAGCTAGTTTTCCAGCAGGACAATGTGTGTGACAAGTGTCCATGCTAGCAGGTCAACATCTGTATGATTCAGCAACAGAAAGTTGATGTTATGGAGTTGCCTACGTGCAGTCCTGATTTGAACCCAATGGAGAACCTTTGGGGACCAACTGTGCGACTAGTGTACAAGTGTGCCAACAGCAGGCAGTTTTCCACCATCGACGAGCTGCGAACTGCGGTCATGGGGGCGTGGAGGACATTGACCCTTCAGTCCTCAAGAACTTAACCATGAGAATGCCGCATCGACTCATGGAGCTCTCATTCAGACAGGGTGCACCAATTGATTATTGACATTCATGAGGGACACTTTTGTGTTTGTATAAATAAACTGTTATATAAGTGGATGTATATATGAAACGGTCGAAATTCGAAAAAAAAATACTTCTAAAATATTCCTCTGTCAATTTGAAGATCTGAAAACCTATTTTCCATTGTATTCTAATGCAGCGAATTTCCTAATGCATGCTACTAATTTGGATCACCCCTCTGAAAATTTTTTCGTTGAGATGAGGGGTGACGTATACTACTGAAACGCACTGTATTACCATCCAAGTAAGCAGATCTAGTGGTGCTGAGAATAGGTAAGTCCTTACGAGAAGGAGAAAAAGCAAGAAAGTTTCTCGCGCTGTGAGCAGTTATTAAGTGAAAGATAAGGCCGTCACAACGTGGGGACAAGCCAGTGATTGCACTACCATGTCTCCAACCCCTCTAGCAGGCTCCCACAAGTCATTGTATGAGCCGCATACCCTCCACAAATCTAGACTATTTTTATCCTTCAGAAGGAGTACCCTTTCAGAGTTTCATGGCCCTTCGAAGTCCTTGAGGGGCAAGAACCACAATAACCAACATAACTATTCTGCTCGATAATCGTGAGCTAAGTTGTTTTTAGAACACAACTTTATTTGGAACGTTTCCAACTCACTGCTGCTTGAATCAGCTTCCTGGCTGAGATCGCTTCAGGATGAGTGAGATTATTGAAGATTTCCGAGTAAGGCGTTTGTTTGAAGATGAGAGTGATGTTGACTTGCTCACCAACTGAAAAGCTGTGTATTGACATGTAATTAAGGCAAAGGGTAAGCACCATCACTTCGTTGTGGACAAATGAAAAATGAATGAGTCAAAAGGGTAATTTTGTGAAAAAAAAACTTTGCAGCCCTCAAAATCGATACCTTACGAAACCGCAGCTCATTAAAGGCGCAATTGACGATAGAGGTGGTTTCTAAGAGTTCTCCTTTGGTTGAATCTATAACCCCCGAGGATAGCATATGGGACACTGTTGGGTCCAAAAACGGCCAAGATAAGGCGTAATAAGGGCCTCAGAACCGGCTTAGCCGACATACACACCCAAGGTGGACGAGTTTTTACGCGTTGTAAAAGCTGCAGAGTGGCACCGTTCGCCCGGGACCCACATCTTGCACGCAGGCAGTTTATTGCAGCCGACTTTATGCGATGGTAGGCACATTTGAACAGCTCGTCCAAATAGCCTTCCATGCAACTTCTGTCGTCACATTCTCGTCCAACCCCTAACTTTATTACTTTTTTGAAGCATTATATTCCTCTGAAGACGCCGATTTCCGAGTTGTTTTCACCATTTTTGTCCTAATCTCAACTATCACTATCCTACTATCGCCAACAATAATCGTCGTGAACTAGATACCCAAAAATTATCGTGATTTTTGCTTTTAAATGAATGACCGACAGGAACAGGTTGGGCATCATCTGTTCACGCACTGTACACCTTGCAAAAGTTTAACTTTTCTACTGGTCAACGTATTTATTAGCAGTGAAGCATGCTCCACTCCATTTGCCATCTTTCATAGTCCACGACCAGTCTAGCGACCGGTCGCGCGACTGGTCGTGGACTATGAAAGATGCCGTTCCCCCTCCACTACCCGTTGGCTTCAGCGACAATATTTGCTAAGCCACTATTTCCAAAGCATTTTTTTCATGTGCGGTGACTGGAAATGATACTTTTGGTGCTTTTCTTCTTTGTAGCAGCGTAGGTACCCATTACAAAGCAGTAATCCTGGGTTAGAAAAGAAATAATAGTGAAACCCTCCCATAATGGTCATGCATGCTCTCACAAAAAGGACTGTCCCGGGTTTTAGCATCAACTTACCATATTTTACCATAGCAGCTTCCAAATTGTCATTCTGAAGGAATCATCAACCGCATAATTTAGGACTTTATTCGATGGTTCGTTTCGCCTCTCCCTAAGACAAGGGGTGCTTGTAGAGGAATGAAGAAGCCTAAGCTTTTCTATCATGCTGTTCACCAGTATTTCATCTTTTTCTTCGTTTTTCTTCGTTCACAGGAAATAACACTGCTACAATATCTTTATATCAGAAGAATTACCTTTGACACAATGTTTCCCAGTAACGTTGAGGTAGAATCCATCAGCGCATTCACAGCTATAGTTCCTGTAGCCGTGCATAACGCAGTCGTACTCACCAGCTGGGCAGAAAGGTGGCGTGGGATCGAGACAGAAGTTGTGAACTGAAAAAACGGTTTGCGTCCGGAGATCGGAAGTGAATTGGAGAAGGAGGCATCACTTTCAATACATCTAGGAGTTCAGAAAGTAGTATTTAGCATAGCTGAATGGCAAAAAATAAATACCTGGGCGAGATTTTCGAAATTGATTTTATCTAAAATGTAATAGAGATTAGAGTTACTTACACTTTTCGCATCTCTCCCCTTCAAACTCATTACTGCAGGCACATCGGTATCGGGAGGCAACGTTGATGTCTGCTGTACAGGTGCCTCCATTCATGCAGGGCTGTAGCTCGCATGGGTCTGAAAAACTATCATTTTCTGCAGTTCACCTGCTTATTTTGGTGTCTCTTTCCTTTTATTTTTTTCTATAGCCTTAGAGACGGTTCTGTTGGGATTGATGATAGGTTAACAGTGGAAAAAGAACTTGGGTGCTCCTAGGGAAGAGAAGGACGTGTTCCAATTGANGAATCCCTCACTGAGATGCGCAGAAGCCCTCAACTATGATTCGGAGAATCATACTCCCTTTTGAATGTCTAGTCCACCCATACTACGACCCCTCAGACAAATCTGAACGACCCCAAGGCTTGCTTAACTCAATGGGAATCTAGGCAGTTGGCATAGGTTCGGGGTTCTATTCTGAGCATGAAAATTTTGGTGGAGTTCGGCCAGAGATTCGATCTATGGATCTGCGTGTAGTGGGGGAACCATTTGTCGGCGTTACACTCTGCTTACGATAAATGAAGGTAGCTGATGTAGTAAGCAGAAAGAATAGTTGTAGGAGGAGTTGTATAACAGATTTCAGTGCTCATTTTGTTAGCTTTGATAGATAACTCACTTCGACAAAAGCCATTCTCATCCTCGATATCGACGTCGTTAGGGCAGACACAGTCCGAAGCGCACATCATCTCTTTCTTCACACATTTCTTCCCAGAAGGGCAAATGACGCCTTTGCAGATATCTGAAGCATGACATACTGAAGGTTTTGTATGTATGAGAATCGGAATCCTTGCCATTGGGTAAAGTTTGAGCGGGATAGGATGCACCAATCCTCCAACTTTTACTAAGATTTGTAGATACGTCAAAATGCGCTCTACATTTTGACGTCTCTACAAACGGCTGACGGCTATTTCCCAAAAGTCGTTGTCTTTCGTGTAGACAACGACTTCTGGGAAATAGCCGTCAGATCAACCATTTGTTCAGGGAGACCCTTGGACACTTTACTTGGGCTCTCATCTCGGTGAAGGTCAAGAGGTCCCGAGCAAGGTTTTAATTACATAAATTCTCTAAATCTGATTCCATATTGGCAATTCCCGCCACTGTTTCACCTACATTTTCCTCATTTTTACAGATATCAATAATATTTTATAAATGACTACTTGATACCAATATAAGGGTGATATCATGATGTAGTAGAACCACTCACCACAAACCTCTGTAGTGTTCTCATAGTAACAATATTCCGTGTCACCGACGTTTCCACATTTTCGGTGATCTAGCGGCATCGGTGTAGTGACGGTTATTTCTGTAAATTAGTTCAAGTAAAGAATTCGTAGAAAAATCTATGCTTGACTTGAAAACTATCTTTGAAATGCACTTACCGTATTCCGGAATTGGGTGAATAAATGAAAATGGATACTTGTAAGGGGGTCATATTGCTACATCCCGTTTTGTAAGGGATCTAATGATAAAAAGGAGATATGAGCAATACTATCACTAAACATACCGCTACCGGTAGTGTTTCCAGGTCCTGTTGAACTCGTTGAGGACGTGGATGACGATAGGGCTGAATCGCAAATCAAATTACGAAAAATATTANAAATATTATTATTATTATTATATTACAAATATTATAGAAGTCTTCTCAGAAGGAAGAAGGAGCACGTGGCGTAAATTTATTTCGGAGAGGACGTAGTTTTGAAAAGCGAATTACTGACAGATTCATGGTTTATACTTTTTTCTTGAACAAGGCATTATTGAGCGTCTAGTGACCTGGTTCATAGTACTATAAACGCTGACCCAAGAAATCCCAAGAATGACGAACTGATTCGACCCTTCTTTGTTCTTTTTTTTTGACAGCACTATGTATTGCCCCTATTTTAATTTTTCTTATGAGATACATTATTTGTTTTATTGATATTACCTGAAAAATAGTTCATTCCCATTTTTTTTGCAAAAAAAATTGAATTTAGGCTTATTTCACCTTCTGTGGCTGTAGTTTTGGAAGCATCTGTAGAAGGGGCCTTGGATGAAGAAGTGGTCTGTGCGGCTGAAAATGTGTCTTCATCCGCTTGATTATTCTTTTAACTTCGATATAGTATCGTATGCAATTGGATTGAATATTCCGAAAATGGAAAATAGCAAACAAAAAAAGCTGTTAAAATAAAATCGTAAAACGAGCCCAAATCAGTTTCCGGGTCTGCTATTAGCTCAACCTGCTTCGCTGGTTTTCTCCTCTGGGTGACCTTTTTGATGGGAACTTTTCTTCTTTTGTATTTTGTATGCTGCTTATACAAATGCATTTCAAATTACTATTCGTTTGGTACTACTCGATAATCCATTGAATGATAACTTATTCCTCAGTAGACGAAAGAAGCCAGATTAACAACACGATAACAAAAGCGCTCAGGAAAGAAAAGATGTTCCGTCGCATGATGGAGATCAAGCTCACGGAGTTTCTTAGAAATCTTCATTCTTCACAGCCATATAAAGGGGCCACATAGTGACCACTTTTCCCATACAATTTAAGGGAACGGGCAGTTGGATCCGTTAGGGTCCACTCCATAGGCCTTAAACCCTTCTCATTTTCCCTACAGCCTTTTTTATCCAGAATGATCGAAAATGTGACTGATTAGCTATCGGTCGATGAGTGGGCCAAGGAAGTAACATCCACAACAATTAATAGGAAACGGGAGAATCCACCGAAAGTACAATCTGAGTGACCGGTACAATCAAAATGAGAAAAGAAATTCAATGGGACATAATAAAAGCGAACAAATTGAACTAGAGCACAGAAATCGAACCTCTTGATGGATGGTAGTCTGTAGCATTGAAAAAGCCTTTCCTTACATGTCACATGCCTATTTAATTAGTTTTCATAGAGATGAACTTGTTCGAGAGCGACTGGACTCGTCCTAGTGGTTTATTACAAGACGGACTGGAGTGATATCAGACCTGTTTGCAAGGGAAAAGACGCTCAGCTCAGCTCAGCTATCCCTCAATATTTTACCCGAGCATTCGTTTTCGGCTAAAACTCACACTTATCAGCACACGCAATCTGGTCCAAGTTCATCCTAACACCTTACCATAGCAAAGGGCATAAAGAGATTATTGCTAACAATAAGACAGGTCGCCCATGAGAAGGCCCCATACCAATGTATGACAGAAGTTCTCACATGAGAGAATCATCGGTACGCAGAATTTAGTTCGACAAGTCCCTCATGACCAGTGAGGACACGTGGTTTGGCATCGTTCGGAGGTAGTCAAAATTCATAAATCCTTTTTCAAGCAAAAGAAGGGAGGCAAATATAATTTGGGGCGGCATATGTCAACCCGTTACACTCGGTGGGTAGAAGGGTAGGGCAGGATTGAAACCATGAGGAGACAAATACGGGTTGGAGTCCCGTCCGAGGCCGAATTTTTGCCACAAATAGCCAAACTCTTAAGATATAAAGAGACTTCATCACAATAGTAAGCCGTCTCCGACTTTTGCGATAAAACTTATCCTCATTAGTAGCTACAGAACAGACAAGATTACCAGTAGTTAATAAAAAGTACAGTAAAAGGAGAAGCGAGAAAAAGCAAAATTGCCCACCTGCAATGTGAAATATGACAGTAAGGAAGATGAATTTCTTTAATGACGGTCGTTGTCGCATGTTGCAGTTGCTATTTATGAATGTCCTGGTTGTTCTGCACTTGATCGGTCAGTCAGTCGGTCTTCAGAGGAATCAGCCTCGGCCAGTATC